TTGACATTTTTTTATGTCTATTTAATGATACTGATGATCTCGTATTGTTTTTGTACAATCATTTAATAAAGGTACAAAAATTTTGTCAATATAAGCCACAAATAACATTAAACAGAGTTACAATTTAGGATACAGCTTCCTTGTTTCCTCTTTTAATAGCCTGTAGCAAAAAAACGTGAAAAATAATTTTTTCAACAGAAATAAATTGAGTCAAAGTGCAAACTTTAAACACTCATAACTTTGAAATTTATAGATAAAATTTGTTTAACATTTTTTGCATGTTCCTGGTATCTTACCTTATTTTTCTCTGGGGTGCGAGTTCTGGCACACGCTGTATAACAAAAGGAAAAGTTTAAAGTGCTGATTAAATAATGCAAAATAAAGTATTTGTGAATTACTATTTTTATACCGAACAAAATATTTATTAGCTTGATGTGAGGTTGAATTAATTGTTGAAACCTTACCGAAGTATTTACTGTTAGTTACAGCATTTTCTACGGAAACCAAAAATAATTCAATTTAATTTATGAGGTTAGCCGTGTTTTTCTCTCCATTTCAAATATTCATTCAACTAATAATTAAAATTACATCTGCATCGGTAATGATAAAGGTAATACTAATGAAACATGTCATCGAATGCACTCTTTCTTTTCTTTTGAATGAATATGTTGTTTTGTTGACATCGAGTTTTATTAATTTAAATTCAAATTACATGTCAGATCTCGAAAAATTACAAACCTCAGCACGACTTTCATTGCAATTTTCTGAATTTCCACCCGTGTATTTCATTCTTCTCTTTTTTATTTTGGTAGGAGTATTTGTTTTGAAAAGTAAATGTGATAAGTAATGACGCACAACGTCGCGTCCTAGTGATCAATCTCGAGAGAGAGCACGTCTATGTTGCTTGGCAACTGCATTATATACTTCTTAGTTCTTGGGGAGGTATGCATGTTTTATAATGAGATATGTGCGTAAACACTTTTTCGAAGAGCCCATTCAAAAAAATAAATATTTTAAGTATTTTAAGTAAATTAGGAAAAAAAAAACATTAAGACTTCTACACACTTGAGACAAATAAATTTACGCATCTTCGGTGGATACAATAAGAGAAGAACTTTTTATGTGCTTGTTTATAACGTGTAGTTATTAGGGGAATTGAGTGAATTTATAGCCTAAGTATTATCTTACAACTCGTACAAGTATGTTTTTTTTAATGGAAATCGCCGGTCAAAATTTTGGCGAAATATTGGTAGCACTTTACCACCATATCCACAAATTTTTATAATTTTTTGTTTTTGTCTTACAAATTTTGTTAAAAAAATTATGGTTGAAATGTTATTAGAATTTTGACTTTTATGAATTTTGTGTTCACTGCAAGTACAATTACGAGCATTAAATGTTGGTAGGTAGTGTCATTTTGAAACTTACTTCACAAAGTAAAATAATTACCATGCTGGAGAAACGATTTATATACTATATATACGCGTTTCTAGAACTGGTAAAAATCTTCAAAAAGTAGATACTATTTTTCTAATAGTTTTACAATAGAAAAAGGCAACCTACAGTTGGTTGTAATAAAAACGGAAAATATAATTTTCTTTAGATTGAAACGGGTTTTGCCCTTGTCAATTTGTCATCTGTCGCATTCAAATATTTTTTTTCTGCAATGCCGCACTTAAATGCCGAGAGCATCTAATGCTAATCAAGATAATCAATTAGTTGAGTACTTAGTGAAAACCCAATGAGTATTGAATCAGTTCTAACTTAACCTTTTAGAACTGAGCGATGTTCAAACTATAGATAAATATAAAAATCTGACATTTTTATGCTTTGACATTTTCCGATTGTACACCAATTTATATTTATCTTATTTTCGTATAGTTTTTGAGAGTGGAAAATCACAACAATTAAGTTGAAAAAATTGTTCTTGATAAATTTTGTGTGCTCATTTTCTACTGTGTTGTAATAGTATATTACATAACGAGCACGGAAAGTGATAAATACCGCGAGTGCGTTAAACACTTTCCTGCAAGTTTTGTACACTATTTTTCCTACGACCATAAAGAACTTTTTTTTTACGAATATATTTTTTTTTCATAACGATTTATTTTTTATAATGGATACAAAAATACGTTGAATAACGATTTATTTTTTATATTGGATACAAAAAAAATCTACAGTTGGATGTTTACTGTTACAAAGTGGAGTTTACTAGGGTGAACAAAATTTTATTACTTCATAAAACTTTAAAAGTAGGGATTGAAAGTAAAGCATACAAATTTTGTTTACAATTACCCCATCTTACTCTATTAGAAGTAAATGATAAAAATGTATATGGAAAAATATAAAATTAATAGTTATCAATTAAAAAATTAATAAATTACAAGAAATCAACAATTTTTTTCAATGTTCTCGGCAAATTGGTATTATTTTTATAACCTAGCAACAGATATAATTTTTTAATTACACCTTGAGGTGCCCTAGTCATGAGTTTAAAAATCTGGTTAGTGTCAAAAACTGGAATAAATGTCTTACAAGATCATTTTATAATATTTCGAAAAATACATTTTTTTCACCCTCAACATTGATTTAAAGAAAAGAGAAAAAAGTAACTTTTCGCGTTGTTTTAGTAAATTTACCGTGTATTTAGTAATATTGATGGGGAAACTAATATTTTTAGGTGTTTTTACAGTTTAATGCTCTCTTAATTTTTAAATCTATCTATTGAACCGTTTTCTTGAATTGATTGATCAAAGTTTGCAAAAGAATTGAAGGAATAATTGCACATATTGTTTCTGAATATTGTCTAATCTTGATCAAAATAAAAAAAACAGATTTTTTCGACTTTTTTTACAATTTCGCATTAGCTATTTAAACAAAATTTTTGTTTTATTTTTTTTATTTGTTAAAGCATTCAAGAAACAATACTGTTTGATTGTTGAAAAAAAATGTTTTTTTATCAAACAAAATGTTTTTGATTTTTTAAATTTGTAAAAAAAATTAAAAAACAATACTAATTATTTTTTGAAAAATATAGTTTTTTGAATTTTTTTCGATTTTTTTTTCAAATTTAGCTCACAACTCATACAAAATTGTAAAAAAGCAGGAAAAAAATGTTTTTCTCATTTTGACGAAAATGTCCTCTGTGTGGTCATTGTTTGCTGACATACCGATGATCAAAAACAAAAGGATCCTTTTTCATTTACAGTAAGATATCTCAGCGACAAATTGACGTAAAGAGAATATGAACAAAGCATGTTAAAGGTGAATAGACATGCTATCGGCCTATGCACTGACTTAACTAAAAAAAATCCCCACGTCCGTGTACCAAAAACAAGATTTAAATATTTTTTTGGGTGCTAGCCGTAGCAGAGAAAAAAAATGCTAGGAGATCTCAAAAGTAGAAACTTAAAACTTCACAATGTTTGTTTCTAATCTAGATGCGACCATTTTTCGATGAGATACAGCCTTTCAAATATCACCAAAAAAATTTCAAAAAATTTTTGTTTCTTTAATTTTTTGGAGTAGTGCAGAACAAATTAAAAGACATCATTTTCAACATTCTGCATATTTCTTAAAAGTTTTGTCATTTCATTAGACGTAACAATTTATGCATTCTTGCAAGTACAAAGCGCTCATGACCACATTTTTATTTAGACTCTCAAAAAAATGCAAATTTATGTGACTCAAATAGTGTTTGGTTTGATGTTCTTGTTTAAATTATTTACAGTGTTAAGATATGGTAACTACTGACCATATCAAATCTAAGTATATACAAAAGAAAGATTAATTGTAAACTGTAACGATTTAGAAAATAAATTATTCAGTCAATTAACATTTTACTTATTATGATTATAAGTTATAAGTTTTGATATGTCATTATTAATGCACCACTCCAGACTCGAATGATTTTAATCTATTATGAGTACATAAATTATGAGTATGCCTATGATAGATCTTTATTTAAATAGGAAACTTACATAATACAGGGTGTTTCACACAACTTTACGAGGCTTGTGCCTAATGTACGCACCCAAATATACAAAAGTCACAGAACACTGGATACAAAAAACACACATTTAATTATTTAAACCAATCACTGTTTCATTAATAGTCATAAACTGCAGTTTTTCAGAAACAATTATCATTTGTTCTATCAAAAGACGGCATGAATATGATTCTAGTTTATCTGTCTTAATCACTACCTAACTAAAAACGTTGTAATTTTTTAAAGGGTGAACAAACTAGAGAAGATTATTCAATTTTTCAAAATTTGTAATCAAGTCCGTATCGGAATATGTATTATTGATTGCATCTTACAGGCGCAGCCCTCGTAAAATTATGTGAAACACCCTGTACTTTTAGAAACACAATTAATTTTTCGCCTCCTAAACTGTAAACGTCAAACGATTGTCACATTTATAAAATATGTTTTTTTTTAACGAAACTTCGGTCAAAAAGTGTATTACCCATTTTACAAAGCCCAATTATTAACACGCTCGACTACGCGTCGTGTGTAAAATTAATTTCGTCCTGCGAAATGTCAGAAATCAACCACACACGAATGTAAATAACTATTTATTTTATTTAATAGTATTTACATAGTGTTTCCAAAATAACATAGATAAACTTGTATATTTATGTAAAGTACCCAACACATTTTTTTCCTTTGGAATCTAGATGATTGAAGGTTTTGTTAAAGAAGTTTTTGATAATATTAAATTTATATTACGTAGTCTTTGATCACTAACTTTATAAACTGTTTGAAGTTAAATGGTAAGTAAGTGATACAACTTTGATTAAAACAAATTGCGAGCACTCAACATCATGACATGAATTAAAATAGAAAATGGAGTAAGAAATAATAACCAATCTCGGATTTGTTTCTAAGACTGTCTTGTTATATAAACGATTTAAATTTATTTTAAATAGTTCTAGGATTTAAATATTTGCAGGATTTCCTGCATTGGTATTTCAAAATAACAAAAAGTGAGACTTACCAAGTGCGTTTGAGCTTGCATCCGCTTTAGGTCCTGTCTCATTTGCGGTGAGTTTGTCCCCTGACGTCACGAAAAACCCATTGGCGATGTCCTTCCTCCAAGTCCAAGTGCACTCCGTTTCAAAATCACAATCCGTGTCCAATTTTGGTTCCACAATTTTAACTTTTTCCTCGTTGTGTTGTAGATGCAGTTGTCGAATTTTGTCGTTCTTTTTGTTGTAAAGTTGTTCAGTGTTAATCCCACCAAAATGCGAATCTTCGTTCATTTTCTTTGGTGTTCCTGTGTAATTTGGTTCTAACCTAGGATTGGCGTCAGCTGCCATAAGATCATCTTTCTTCAATTCTTCATTGAGTTGTTTGAAAAGGTTGGAAAGACTCCTGTCTGGAGCTTTTCGCTTGTAACGATGGCTGGATTCGTAATGAGAATCTTCAAATATGTCTTTTATTTGTTCTATATTGCTAAAATTTGGACGTTTGATTGATTTTATATCTAAGTCAGTGCCTTGCTTTCTTATTGTTCCAGCACCATTTTTAGTTACGCTAAAATCTAATTTATTTTGTGAAATCTGGCTTGAATCTAAGTGTGACAATTCTTTAGATTCGATGTTTGAGTTTGAGGCTAAACTCTTGCAACCATTTGCTCTGTTTTGGAGTAAAAATAGTAACGTAAAGAGCATTCTACTGGTAACAGCCATCATTTTTGGGTTTCTGCATCTTTGCATTTTGTTTTTCAACAAAGCCATTTCCCGATTTTTAAACACCTAAAACCGGAGATTATTTTCAGTTCAAATTTCACACACTTTTTTTCTAGAAAAATTCCAGATTCTTTGACAAAATCAAATCAAATTAATAGCAAAATGAAAGAAAGTTGCAGTTTTTTTTCCAAGTCTTCAAAATTTAATTATCCCGAACAAACAAATCGGCTTAAAATCAAGACCACTGATAGTTACCACAGATTTTCAATCGAATAGTGAAAAATAGGTACCTTGAGTGAACATTACGCCATACGAATACACCAGCACATTTTAAAAGTGTTGTGTTGTCTCTTTAATTATGTTATTCTTTCACTGTCAACACTACGCACACACTTGCGTTACGGTGTAAACTCGTTGGCGGTGACTTTAATTTTAAAATTGCAATCATTAGGCAGAGAGACGTAAAAATATCTTGGTACAACCCATCTCGACGTATGTGCGTTAGCCAAATTTTCTACGAGATAGGTATATACATTTAAATTTACAAGACGGAGACAGAGATGTTTTATCGATTTTCCCTCCGTTGTGTGATAACTTGGCAGCCACAGTAGAAATGAGATGAAAGCAGCTAGGGACATCTGCCGGGATGCTGGGAAAGTACAACAAAGAAACACTTGAAGTGGTAAAAAATTAAAAAAAAACTTGCAAGGATGCAGCAATGAAAAAATATTGAAGCTTTTTTCTATAAAAATAGTTACTTCTGTTACAAGTTTATAAAATACTGATTTTGCGGACGAGGCGAAGCCGAGCAGTTGAGCCCTTAGGTTCGTATTACAAACATTTTTTTTTGTTCAAACCTCCAAAAACACAAAATTCAAACTTTTTATTATGTTTGATTTGTAATGAGAGCAAATATTTCGCAAAACTAGTGGGCTTCGGATTTTCATTACTATAGTAAGCACATTGCTTTTTTATCCCCAAAAACTGTATTTTTGAAAAAGACTCATTTTAGGGATTTAAATATAAGTTTGAGAGCGCATACAAAAAACTAATACTCATAAAAAATGAGACAATTTATTGTTTAACTCTTAATTCGTTGGTTTTTCCATCTATGTACAGGGTGTGTCAGAACTCGCGCCTCAGAGAAAAATGTCAAATAAGTTACCAAATAAGTTTTATGTCTATTTAACTCTTTCTTTGATACTGATATCTTGTATATGTTTTTTTTTAATAATTATTTAGTAAATGTACAAAAATTTTGCCATTAAAAGCTGTAAATAACATTAAACAGAGTTACAATTTAATATACAGCTTCCTTGTTTTCATTCTAAAATAGAAATAAAGAGTCAAAGTGTAAAATTTAAATTCTCATAACTTCAAAATTTTTATACAGCGTGCGCCAGAACTCGCGCCTTAGAGAAAAGTTTCAAATAAATTACCAGGGATATGAAAAAATTGTTTAAAAAATTCTATCAAAAAATTTTGACATTTATTTTTTGACATTTCCCATTTTTTATGTCTATTTAATCATACTGATATCTTGTATATGTTTTTTTATAATTATTTATTATTTTTTGCCAATAAAAGCCACAAATAACATTAAACAGAGTTACAATTTAAGATACAGCTTCCTTGTTTTTCCGTCTAAAACAGAAATAAAGAGTCAAAGTGTAAAATTTAAACTCTCATAATTTCGAAATTTTTATAGATAACATTTTTACCATGTTTCTTGTACAGAGTGGTTATAAATGATTTTCATCTAGCCAGCTTTGGAATTTTTTTGCATGTAACTTTATTTGTGCCGCTCTACTTTTTTGAAAGCTCTAGTTCTGTCATTAGTGTCACTTATTAATTAATAATAAATTGTTGTTAATTAAATTTTTATTGTTTCAACTAATTTCCAATAATAATTGATAATAATGTATACTTTGGAAAAAAACAAGTTTATAATTGAAGTCTATTTTCAAAGTAGACGCTTAGTAAACGGCGATTTTTTAATTTTGAGTTACAACAAGTAGGTACCCCTATTTTCGTAAGGCTGCATTTTTTATTTTAAATGGAAAATTCACAGCTGGCTAGATGAAAATCATTTATAACCACTCTGTATCTTACGTTACATGGCATTTTTCTCTGGAGCGCGAGTTCTGGCGCATCCTGTATATCCAAAAAGTGAATGATTCTGTTTATTTATCCCCCGAAATAAAATTCTAATTATAAGCCATTCATTGGGTTGACTTTTAAAAATATTATGATTTTGCCGACGTGAAAGTTATTTTTTTCAAAAATTTAAATGAAATGATTTTTCTTCTAAATTGAAAAAAGGTGTTTGAAACTTATTTATCTATTCGAAATTAAACTATTATTATAAGAGGCCGACAAATTATAAACTTCTAGAGTGTTTGCTTTTCAAACTGTATACAGAAGCAGGTATGTCTAAAACGCATAAACAAAAAAACTTGTTTTTCTTCTTTTCAAAAGAATGTTTAACATTTCAAATAACATTATGTTTAATAAACAGTGATACTTTATTTAGTTTTCATTGATTTACAGTTCAATTTATTTTTAAAATATGTGGTTATTTTTGTTACAAATATCTAAAATACAGTTTTTGCGGACGAGGCGAAGCCGAGTCTGGAATAACAAATGAGTCCGCAATAATTTTTTAGGTAAGTGTTGCAACTAACATTTGTTTGTTAAAGCTCTCAAAAACATATTCAAACGTCGTATTATGTATAATTAATTTCTCGAAAATAGTGGTTAAAAAATAGTATAATTATTTTAGGTACTATTTTATCGAGTCTGAAAGAGTTAGGAACTTAAATAAATTTGTAAAATAGTTGGTTTTTAATGCGTAAATAATAGACTTTTTTGAGTTTGAATTAAACATACAATGAGCGGCGTAATTATGGAATAATCTTATACAAGGTGCGCTAGAACTCGCTCCCCAGAGAATTTTTTTTAACATTTTCTTCATGTTCCTGGTATCTTACCTTACTTAATTTTTTTTTCTGGGACGCGAGTTCTGGCGCACCCTGTAAATTAAAACTGAAAATATTTTGTTTAGACAAAAATGCTTGAACAAATCAATTTTCTTTTTAAAAAATACAAAATTTTTAAGTTGATTTAGAATTGTATGTTCTTTAATGATTTTTTTTTCGAAAATTTAATGTAATATTTAATATTTTGGTATTGTCATTTCGATAATTAAAATATCTATCGAATTGGCTAAAAAATAGGGGTTTTTATTAAAAAAAATGTCGATGACATTATTACTCAAAAAACAAAAAGTGCAAAAATTTATATCAAATTGAAAATTATACATTTTTAAAAAAGAAAATTCTCCTGTTTAAGCATTTTTGCAAAAACAATGTTTGTATTAAATGTGACGTAAAAATTTTAAATTTTTGTTGGACAAATTTTTATTATAATGCAAACACAGTAGTTTTTATTTTTATTTAGATATTTGCTTTCAGAAAATAATTATTAATACAAATTAATGTGAAGTCAAAGGTCACTTTGATTAAATTATTTATTATTTTCTTTTCTTAAAAAAGCTTTTAAATTAGAAAAAAAATAAAAATTATAGTTGACCGACGATTTTTAAAATAAACGAATTAAAGCGAGGTAAACAAGTTAATATAACAGTAATTTCGATCTAATTTGATAATTTTTCAGCCCGTATAAACAAAATTTGAAAAAAAAAATGTTTTAATTTCAAAACGTGTATAAACACTCAAATTGCACAACTAAACCTTAAAACAACATTTTTTAAAAGCGCCCTCTATAGTTTACTTCTTTTATGTTACGTTGGGGTCTTCGAATTTCGCGGTTGGCAGCGGCAGCACTGTGAAAAAGTTCCAATGTCAAGTGACATACAAAAGCAAGTGCGGTAAATAAATCAGAATTCTTAATTTAAAATTAAATTTTTTTGGCTATTGTAATAACAACGAATAATTTTGCATGTAATGCTAACAGTTTGAGAAATTTACGATCATGTCTGAGACAAGAGAAAAATATGGCCCATTAATCGGATCAATAGATGAAGGCACATCAAGTACAAGGTTTTTGGTAAGAATTTTTGTATTACTGTTGTAAAACTTCTTCTCAAATTGATTTTCTAGGTTTTTGCTTCGAAGACAGCCGAGGTATTGACTTATCACCAGGTTAAAATCCCACACATCACCCCAAAGGAGGGATGGTTTGAACAGGATCCTATGCAGATTTTAAATTCAGTTATAGAAACAATCAATGTAACTTGTGATAATTTAAAGAAACTTAATATTAATTACGAGGATATAGTAGCTACAGGAATCACAAATCAAAGGGAAACTACAATTCTCTGGGATCGCACAACAGGGAAACCATTATATAACGCTTTAGGTAAATAAAAAGCTTTAAATCTTGTGTTTTAAACAAACAAATTGAAGTATGGATGGATATGAGAACGTCAAGTACAGTCGACACTATTTTGTTAAATGGGAAAAGAAACAAGAATTTTTTACAAAGCATGTGTGGACTTCCTATTAGTACATATTTCAGTGCTTTAAAAATCAAATGGTTGATGGATAATGTTGATGGAGTTAAGAAAGCAATGGAGGAAAAAAGGTGTGTTTTTGGAACGGTAGACACTTGGTTAATTTGGGTGAGTTACACTTATTTTATTATGATTATTTATTAAATAAATTAATTAGAATCTCACAGGTGGTGTAAAAGGTGGCCTTCATATAACTGACGTCACTAATGCTTCAAGAACAATGTTGATGAATATAGAAACCCTTAAATGGGATCCTCATCTATGTAAAATTTTTGATATTCCAATGCACATTTTGCCTGAAATCAGAAGCTCCTCTGAGATATATGGCTATATAACTGATGTTACATTATTGGCTGGAATTCCAATTTCAGGAGTAATTTTTTCAGTATTTTTACGATGTGTAATAAATATGTATTTGTGCAGGTTTTGGGTGATCAACAGGCGGCATTAGTTGGCCAAATGTGTTTTCATCAAGGACAAGCCAAAAATACCTATGGGACTGGTTGCTTTCTATTGTACAATACTGGAACTACAGTAATTTTTTTTTTAATTTTTACTCAAGTAAATGTACAATTTGTTTCTAGATGGTTCAGTCAAACCATGGGCTTTTAACAACAGTTGGCTACAAATTGGGCCCCGATAAACCAACTGTTTATGCTTTAGAAGGTTCAATTGCTATTGCAGGTGTGTTTTGCTTTTAAATACGGCCAATTAATTATTATAAAAAATTCTATGTGTATAAATTTGCAAAAAGATGTTGCAAAACCTTACTATTGTTATAAAAACAGTGGATTTTTAATGCACATCAGCAAGTCCCATGGACGATTGTTTTGTGGACAAAAAAACTAGACGTGATTTTTTATGATATTTTTTTATGTTTTAATTTAATTTTTTTTAATTTTAATTTTTAAAAACCTTGCAGTTTTTATTTTATGCTTATAGAATTAAACCAAAGTCGGTATGGATGACACTCTTGAGTTTTGTAAAGTTTGACATTAATAATAATCAATGTTTTTTCAATCACGTGAATACACTTTTGTTGCAAAATGGAAGTAAAAAAACATATATTATAATCTAAATTAGTTTGAAACACATTATTTAAAGTTACTTAATGTGAATGTTATTGTGATAATACAGGTTGTTCCGTTTTTATTGTTACAAATTTAAACAGGAAATAGAATATTCAATTTTAAGAAAAAATTTTCATATCGAAAATTTCGTATCGAAAAATGCTACTCAAGGGAGCTATACTCCCCCAAAAGGGAGCGTCTTTTAATTTTTTATTTTTCCAATGTTTCTAAAACCATTTTAGATAAAATTACAAAATTTGGTACAGTTGATAAACTTTTATACATCTAAACGAATTCAAAAATTTTTAATTAGGGGCTCCTAAACTAGATTTAGGTTTAGGGTAAAAAGTACTCTTAACTATTTTGGCTGTAGTTTCTTGCCACTTTCAACAACAAAATTCTAAATTTCATAGTTTTTCATAAGAAAGGTTTTTTGCGTTTTTTCGATACAACTTACCGATTTCGAGTAAAATCCGTTTTAATATTTATGTTGCAGACCATAAATAGCATAAAAATTAAATTTGTTTTACCGTTTAGGACGCCCCTGATTAAAATTTTAAAAATTATAATTTTGACATTTCATCTTGCTATTCGTTTGGGGATGTATAAAGCTGTACCAAATTTTGTAATTTTATCATTATGAAATACTGAGCAAAACTTTTTAAAAAACGCACCTCCTTTAGAGGGTGTAGCTCCCTTATTTTTCGAAACATGTTTGCTTAAAGGAAACTTTTGTCTTAAAATTGAATATTCTATCATCTAGGAGTATTTAAATTTGTAACAATAAAAACTGTATAAATAAATATATTTTTTATCCAAAACCTCTACATGGTGAGTCATTACAGTGCGACGGAGGAGAAGAATACTGTGTCTTCTATTGAAAGAATGAAAGTAATTATTTGAATAAATAGCATTTATTTTTTTTATTTCAAAAATTATAAAATTAACATTGAATTAAGGATTATTCGTCTTCGTCATTCTATCGTCGTTTAAATTTATAATAATTTCTGGAATCTCACTACCATTAAGAGACACATAACTGTTTTCAACAGTCTGGGTATGTCTTACATAATTGCTCTACAAATTAACATTTATTTTTTTTTATTTGGCTTTTTTTTGATGTATCCATATTTTATGCGTTTTCTTGTAAATATTCATAGATATCGCTTTTCCTGCTGCATTTGATGGTAACCTTTTCTTTTTGCTTTGAAAAATACTGTAATTAAGTCAGAAGATTTGTTGGGATTATGAACATTGATGGATATCTGGACATTTTTACTTTAAAAGTTTATAAATGTTACATCCTCGGAAATTTTTATATAAAATTTTTATCTTAAATTGGAACCATTAAAAAAATTGGTGAAGATGTTTTGAAAAACGTGATCAAAGTGTAAAAATTCAGTATTTTTTCACAACAAAAAATACATAAACTTAGCACCTGTTTCTTAAAAAGAAAAGCATGTATATGTTGTTGTCAAATTTATATTGACCGAAATTATTTGGAAATACGTAAATATCTCAGAAGGAACTCTTGTCAAATCACAATTTACATATTTTTTCCCAGTGTCGTATTTGCTTTTTTAAATATCAAAAAATATTTTGTGACTCTACCAAGTTATGTACTTTGTTTTTTTTAAATTTTGACGTCTTATTAGATTCCAGCGTTTTGATTACCACAAATAATACAACTCTACAGAAATGTTTTGCTTGTGCCTCTGCTTGGTTTGTGATTTTTTTTATATATCGTACCAAACTGATGTAAAAATATCCACATCCTTAAAATTTGCTTTTGGAACTATCGTTGGTCCACAAATCAAAAAAAATTAATAATTTCTAAAACAAAATCTTGCTATAATTTTGAGGCAATAGTCTTTAGTTTTTTCAGGAGCAATAAAGTCGATAATTAGCAATAACTAGTTGAAAATATAATAGAGGCTTAAGGATTAGTTGCAAGAAGTTTCTTGAAAAATATGCTACATGCATATTACATTTAGAAAAATACCTACGATGTTCTGGTTTCAAAAGCAAAATTGTTTGTGAAATATTTTTTCGAATTAGTGTCGAAAACCTATCGACATTCTTATTTCAGGCACAAAATTCATGCACACAAGTTTTGTTGACTTGTATAATAGAAAAGTAAAATTTTAATATTGGTAAAGAAGGTTTTATTTTATCGTTTGATGTAATTTTTATTTGTTTTTAGTACAAAATGTGCTAACTAGAATTAATCAAATTGTGCAATTTTCAAACAATTAGATATATCTACTAATGCTTTTTGATACAGAGGCAGTCAAAAGTACATAAAATTCATATTTTTTGGCGGAACATTTACGATTTTTTTGGACAGGTTGATTGTGGTTTTTTAATGGTCTTTATTTTCAATTATAGTTTTTTTTAACTCACTATGGTTTGAAATATGACATCATAGACCATTTTTTAAAATGAGACTTGCTTTTTTATTCTTTTAGAGATTTTTTTACAGTAAATTTTCACCAAGAACTGAAATAATAAATATAAATTCTATTTGGCCTTTTGTAATAAAATGTTTGTCAGAGAGTTAATTTTTTAGTGTCATTACTTTGAAAGTTATAACAAGTTTATATTAACCTCTGATCTCACTTACTATAGCTACACTATAATAGCCATTTATGTATTAAGTACATACTCAAAATAGGGTTTTAGGGGACGAATCGTATTAATGACGAGGCGACGTAGGAGCCGAGACTTTAATGAGAGGAGTCACCTAAAACCTTTTGCGTATGTGGTGCATACAAGATTTTTTTGTTTAAGCTCCCAAAACACGAATTCACACCTCTTACACTGGCGGAATTTTGGATTTGTCATTCGAGTGACATAAAAATGTAAAACGGGCCTTAGGCAACTAACCTCACTTTCGGTTTTTGTAATTTTTATCCTGATAGCTAGAGAAAAAATGACAACAAATCGAATTAATTTATTGAACTTATATAAAAACACGTATTGCTAGCATTATTGTTTCCGAAAATCGACATCAAACAACTAAAACTTTAGTTTCAAACGTCAATCATAATGACAATAAAGCGTGCCTTACATTGACATTTTTTGAACTATCATAAATTTGATGTCCAAAATTTTCGCCACCATAGTATCCAATTTAATTTTTTAGTCCACAAAAACAGTTTTAAAATTACCATTTTGCGTACTGTTTTATTGAGTCCGGAAAAGACTCATTTTGCCGACTCAAATGAGTATACAAAAAAATCAATAAATTATAAGGCAAAGAATTTAATTTCTTAATTTTTGTAAATAAGAATTTATTTAAGGGATTTCAATAAAATGGCTTCAGGACAATTTAATGATTTTGAAAGACTCTAAATATTCTGGAGAGATGGCTGCATCGGCAGATGAAGTGGGTGAAGTTTATTTCGTTCCAGCATTTTCTGGTCTTTATGCACCTTACTGGCGTAAAGATGCTAGAAGGTTTATTATCTCTTCTCCCTAAAACCAAATAATAACCCCTAAAAATATTTGTAGTGTCATATGTGGTTTAACTGAAGAAACCAAACCAGAACATTTAGTTAAAGCTGCTTTAGAAGCAGTTTGTTATCAAGTAAGGGATATTTTAGAAGCAATGGCGTTAGATTGTGGTTACTCTTTATCTAAACTTCTAGTAGATGGTGGTATGACTGCCAATGATTTTTTGATGCAAATGCAAGCTGATTATTGTGGTATTCCTGTGGGTAATAGAATCAGAAAATTTAATCGGGGTTTTCACTCACCTTGTTCATTTGTAGTGAGGCCTACAATGGCTGAGACTACTTGTTTAGGGGCTGCTATAGCTGCTGGAAATGCAAAAGGAGTTGAAGTTTGGGATTTGGATAATATACAACCTGTGCCAAGTGATACATTCTTACCATCGATATCTGAGGACCGTTAGTCTTATGATTTGTTAAATAATTTTTGTTATTTTGCTATTTTAGAAAGGGATATCAAGTATGCGCGATGGAAAATGGCTATTAACAGAAGTTTAGGGTGGGCACACGATGAAGAAGAAGATAACAGTTTTGAAGGTAGATATTTTTACGTCGGAGTTGTTTTTCAACGTATATGTTTGCTACTAATTATTAATAATAGTGGTGAAAAAAATTGGTATAAAGATAAACATATTCGTTGACAATATTATACTCGTATTAAGGTAGAGAAAAGATTTTTTGCATAGCATCGAGGGAAATAAAAGATGCAAGGCTATAAAAATTTTCTCGACCGTGTTTTATATAATTTTTTTTCACTACTAGCACAATTATTCCCCAGAAATACAACGCCAAAATGATCACTTTTAAAACTCATTGTTTCTGATTTTCGTAAATTTAAGATGATATAGAACGTGTAAAAATAAGTGACAAGTATTCCACCGTTTTTTATTTTTTCAATGCATGTTGAAAAAACAGGGATGTACAAAATTAAGTACCTTGTAACAAAAAGAATTTGTATCTAAAGAACAATCAACATGTTGAAACGATTTTTTTTTTTATAATTGATGTAAGTAGCTACACTACGGACGTGATAATGCATTTATTCAAAAAATTTGTTATTAACAAATAATTTAAAAATATATTGTTTAAACAAAAAAATAAAGAATTACGCATATTTTTAAAATTCTCAAAAAAATTATGTAAAAACTTTCATATTTTTATTATGTCTTCACATAAGTTTCAAGACGGACGTTTCAAAAATGGCTGAAAATTTTTTTTTTGAGAGCGCTGAAAGTAGCGTTTTCTTGTAAATTAAATAGAATAATTACCAATTACCGTCACTAATAAACTGATGTATAGAATAACTTATTAACATTTATTTTTCAAAAAATAGCAATAATAAATACAAATTTCTCGGTTGAGGAAGAGTACTCTCTATACTTTTTTTATTCTATTTTCTGATATTAGAATAAAAGTATGTAAATTTTGCGTACCTTTTATAAGCTTCGCTCGACTAAAACGATCATTTAAAAAATCGTAATGTCTTTCAACTTGTCGATTGTCGATATACAGGGTGTGTCAAAAGTTCCGGACCAACGTGACATGCCAAGATAAGATATCAGGAGCATGAAAAAAATGTAAAAAAAAAATTCGAAGTTATGAGAGTTTAAATTTTGCACTTTGACTTTGATTTGTTTCTGTTGGAAAAATTATTTTCCATGTTTTTTTTTGCTACAGGCTATTAGAAGAGGAAACAAGGAAGCCGTATGCTAAATTGTAACTCTGTCTGATGTTATTTGTGGCTTTTGTTGGCAAAATTATTGTCCCTTTAATAAATAATTGTAAAAAAACATATATAGACATAAAAAATGTCAAATTTCAAAAAATAAATGTAAAATTTTTTTGACCGATTGAATTTTTTAAAAATTTTATTCATGTTCTTCTGGTTTCTTATCCACATGCCATGTGACGTTGGTCCGGGAATTTTGACACACCCTGTATAGCAAAACGTAATTTTTTAATTTAAAGTTATTAAGGAATTTTCTAATTTTCTAATATGATTATTTATTAAAGTAACATAGTAACTGCAAAGACAAGGGAAAAGTGTTAAAATTTGCCATACTACCGGTGATATTTCAACATGAAATAAGCCCTTCTGATATTTTTTAATTTAAAAATTAAAAATAGATTTTTAAATTGATTGACATTTGTTTAATTTAAGCATTTCTTTAAGAAATTTCTAAATGTTTTTTGCAAGTCTAGAAATTTTTTAAGCCGATATTTCTTAATCTTTCTTAGTCTCCCCAACTGTCTTTTGTAATACGATATTTTGAAAAGTCTCAATTTACATTTTTTAAATTTGGGCATCTCTATTTGAGAAATTTTTAAAGGTTTTTTTTGTAAATCTAGATATTGTTTAATACGGTATTTCTAGACACTTCCTTAGGCTCCCCCACTGTTTTTTGCAACACGATGTTTTAAAAAAGTTTAGATTGACATTTTTTTAATTTAAGGATTTCCTTAAAAAAAAATTTAATGTTTTTTGCAAGTATAATTTTTTTTAATCTAGTACATCTGACACTTTCTTAGTTTCCCCAACTGTCTTTTGAAGTACGATGTTTTGAAAGGTTTAAAATTTAAAAATCAAATTAAATTAAAATTAAAAAAATTAAAATTAATTAAATTAAATGATAATATTTGTATCAATCTTATACTCTCCAATATCGGTATTTACCGTCCTCTAATCCATTATTGCCCTAAATAACTAGTAGTGAAAAAATTATTTTTGGTTCAGTAGTAGGTCATTATTTAAACTGAATTTTTGTTAACAGAATTGTCAGATGTTGATGCCTCTATTACAGGTACCTACTTAATTGTTTCATTAAAGACTAGTAGTTTTTGAAGTCTAACATCCATTTGTGAATGTTCAAAATCAAGCAAGAATGGTGTCACATTTTATGTAGTAACTTCACAATTCATTAGTGTCTTGTTTATGTCTTGTAGAGGCATGTTTAACACTGGAATGAATGAGAAATGAAAAAAAGTCAATGATTTGTATATTTTAGTATTAATTTTTATTACTGTTGTAGATGACAATATGTTAACAACACTGCCAGGAGGACTTTTCGTTCTTGGAACTATGGTTATGCTACTTATGGCTGAAATTCTAGAAAAAAAATAAAAGTTAGCCAAAGTTGAATTGCAACAACTTGAAGTAATAAAAATTTAAGTCATTTGTGTTTTTTATTATGGTTGTGTATTGAGTTATTTATTTGCATTTAAAGTCACTTTAGCTGTGATTTTTCTGTTTTTGGTTGTTTTAGTATTTGCTTATGCTGCAAAAGTATTAATTTTTATGCTTTGATAAGCAATAAATAAATATAAAGTTTTTTTTTCTCAATGTTTTTTTTGCCCCTTTTTCAAATGTGTATAGGAGGTTTTTAATTTTATTCACAACTTTATCTCTAATTTTCGTGAAAGAAAAGTTAAAAAGTTTACAAACAATTTCAATAATAAACAACGAAGTGAAGCAGTTTTTGTTTATTAAAAGTTGTTAAATCGATTGAAATAGAAAAAATGCAGTTAAATTCTTTTTTAGAAACGAGGTTGGTAATAGAGGTAGGTAATGGAGGTCAGTAATGTGACACTTTCCAACTATTTGTTAGAAATGTCAACATTTCACATGGTTATGATGTTATGAATGAAGATCTTTAGAGTCACAATAAATACCTACATTTATTCTGTACTGTGGTATATTAAAAATAAAAATCATCTAGCTTTGTTTTGACCACTACCGAAAACTAGTTATAAATTAAACCCTAAAACAGTACTATATCACATTTTCAAGAAACTGGTCACAGTTTTTCACTAATTGTTTAAACTATGGTTCAATGGTGTCTAAAATCCATGACATATATTCTTTCACGTCGGTGTAAATCGCTGGTCGACCATTAATTCCACACTGCGATGGCCCATATGACACGATACCTTCTTGGACGTATCGCTGGGTGGGTCCCAAGGAAGTAATATACTGTAATGGACCTCCACTATCACCGGAACAGGAATCTCGTCCTTTGTAACCTCCAGCACAAATTTGTCCTTTTGAAATTGGTTTAAATTTACCATAAAGCTTTTGACACTCTTTCAAAGGAACAATAGGGATTGAAACCTTGCTAAGAATCATACTTTTATGACCTGTAAAAAAACGAAATGTAATTTTTATAAAGTTTTGAAAAAATACTAACCAGTTTCTGTAACTCCCCAACCAGTCACGGTTAGGAATTTCCCCACAAGGTTTGCTTTTAGGAGATTTCCATGTGGCAGGCAGATTGGTTTAACATTATCTGAAATTTAATTTAATTAAAAAAAATACAATTATTTTAGAAAAAATATTACCGTAGTTGAAATTTGCAGGGGTCGCGAGTCTTATCAAACCTATATCATTCGAATAAGTTGAGGGATTGTAGCGACTGTGTATGATTATTTTGTCTATTAGGAGGTCTTGTACTGGAGGTTCACAATTTTGTCCCCGAGAGTCACAATCCTTTTCGGTCTGGATGTCGTATTCGCCCAGTCGAATTCCTAATCTAAAGCAAAAATTATTTGAATAAGCTTTGCATAATAGTGACAACATTTAAAACATTCAACAAGATAAATTACACAATAATTAAAAAAAGGTTTTTGTCCTAAAATTTATTTTGTGATTTTTTTATTCACTATGTTTTAAAATAAAGAAAAAATACTCATATTCCCTAAAAAGTTTGCTTTTGTGGTAGTTATGATTATAAATCCTTTTCTTGAGTTATCATATTTAAAAAAGAAAATAAATAAATTTCCATCTTTTCCAGTCGCTCCTGAAAGAAAAGTATTAATGTGTAAAAATTTTACTAGAAGCTTTGAAATCTAAAGAGTTTAGGATTCTTAATTCTTAGGTCTTATGAAACAATTCGTAAAAAAATAGATGAAAGATCTGAAGCTTTTACATTTTTAAAAACTTTTTCCAAAGTTGTCAGAAGCAAAGGTTAAAGCTGGAATTGTTGTTTGTTCACAAATCAAAAAACTTTTTGCCAGTAAAGAATTTCCAAAATTTCTTACCAGTGCTCAACAAAAAAGTTGGAAAAGTTTTAAAGGAGTAGTTTTTGGATTTTTAGAGAATTACATAGTTGAAAATTACCGAGAGCTAGTTGATAACATATTAGAAGACATTAAAACTATGGGCTGCAGAATGTGTCTAAAAGTACATATGCTACATGCTCATTTAGTTAAATTTAAATAGACTTTTTCTACTAGTTTGTATTTTTTTGAAATTTGATATGGTAATAAATGTTGATAAAAATTTATACATAAATATATTTGTTTCGATTTTTTTTATAAATAAAAATTTAAACTATGGATTTTCTAAAATATTGATTAACCGTTCTCCTGGATACAAAAGCAAACTTTTTCAGGCCATATATATTTTTTTGTAAAACTTATCGATAAATCTATCGAAATTTCATACTCTCTTATCAAAGTCACACAGGTGAAAGGTGCTGCTTTAAAAACCTTAGGCTTTATACAGGGTGAATATAAGGTATGGAACCATGCGGTTTTATTTTTAATCATTTGCTTCCAGAAAATAATAATTAATATAAATTAAAGTAATATAAAAAAAGTGATCGTATTTTCAGAACGAAAATATGTTTTGTTTTTGAGTTATGCGATTTTTTTTTGGCAAAATTGCAATTTATGTGAAAAAATTTTTTTGAAAAAATTAAATATAAAGCAGATAGTTGTAATCCTTAGAGTATAGCTTTTATGAGAAAAATGATTTTATAGTGGGTTTCCATTTAAAAAAATATTTTTTTAGAACTGAAAAACAAAAGGAAATCTTGAAAAATTTTATTCTTGTTAAATCATCACATTTTTATAGTATGTAGGTACTTCATCACTCATCAATTAGTTTTTTCAAAAAATAAATAGTTTAAGCAAAAAACGTTTGATTCCATACTTTTTATTCACCTGGTATGTAGAAATACAAAAGAATTTACTAGTGTATGCTGTATTAAAATGTTATTTTATGCTCTTGTAAGATTCAGGCTTGAATACTGTTGTGTTATCTGGGGTCCTATGAAATTTATATCAACATGTTAGAAAATGTTTTAAGGAAATTCGTTAAATATCTATATTTAAAAATCTTTGAAAGGAACCCTGTTCGACATTGTGACCAGAGAGATCTTCTCAATAATGTGAATAAAGATATTTTATTATGTAGAAGGAATGTTTTCTGTGTTGTGTTTCTTCAAAAACTTTTGTGTGGTGAGCTTGACAGCTCTTACCTCATGGGCCATGTTAAAATTATTGTACCTCAAATGAACAACAGAAGTCCTTCTACATTTTATTACTTTTTCCCAAACACTTTTCATCATCTTAATTCACCTCTTTTTAAATGTTTTAGATTGTATAACAGTCTTAAAGGCTTGGATCTGGACATCTTCTTTCATAAATTTAGCTCTAAACCAGTTAGGATCAAACTTCTTGTCTACTTTTCGTTATGTTTGTAGTTAATTTTTAATTTTTCTTTCCTTTATGTGTTCTACTCGCCCAATTCCTCTATAGTCCTCTATAGACTTATAGTCTGTTGGAAATAAATTCTATTATTATTGTTATTAAAGTCAAAATTCGTCTTGACCTGTGTTGTAATTCCAATCGCTTTAATTTGCATTTTTTTAAAATTCTTGATTTTTAAGCTTTGGGACTTTTGGGAGGTCGGGAAATTTGTTATTACAACTTATTAACTTGTCTAAACACAGCCTAGATGCAACGTAATTTAAAAAATGATGATTTTCAAAAATTTTACAAATTTTGTAAAACAAAGTTAAAAAAATTGTACATAAAAAGTCTTTCTTGCAGACATGCAAATTTTTTAAACTATCCAAAATTTAGGCAAATTATGAGTTCTATTAAAAGCAGATCTATCATTTTGGGACCAAGTTTCTGAATTTAAATTGATTGAAAATTTTGAATGACTTACATAGAAGCTTCATCCAGACAATGTGCAGCAGTCAGTACGTATCTCTCGTTTATTAAACTTCCACCACACTTAAAATCTTCATCTTCGGGGGAATCCCCTGTAAACAAATTTCAAATCAAATAAAACAATTATTTTTTTTACACAAAGCTCTCACCTGTTTTGTAGGCAATTAATGCCATCCATGGAAACTCCCCACGAGTAGCAACTCCTCCTTCCATTATTCGTGTGCTGTGAGAAATTGGTCCACAATTATCCATCGGGAGTAAATGAAAATTTTCATGAGTGGTCAAAAAATCTCCGCCAAAAATCATATCACGGTCCAAATTTCTACAACAAACTTTCGGGGTTTCACGATTAACAAACCCGCAAAGGTTTTGTTTCATTTTTGGAATGAGATGCGGAGGTCGTGGTTTTGCATTTAATAAGTTTACGTAATATGGACATTTCCAAATGTCTATGCAAGTGCCACTTCGGGAACTTCGACATGAATCTGATAAAAATATTAATTTGGTGTTTTTTTTACGAGGACTGAATTAGAATACTTACTGAGTTGGATACGAGCTCGTGTAAAAAAGGCACTCAAAAGAAACACACAAAAACTTGATGTTTTCATACTGAACAGATTCACGTCTGAAATGAAATAAAGATTTTCGAATAGTGACAAGAACCGTCTAGGTAAACGGTGAGTCAGGGGTTAAATCGGCTTAAGTCTTAATGGTTTTTACGGACTGTGGTAAAATTGTGAAAGTTTTTTTGTTGTGTCTTAAGATTATTTTAGGTAGATACATAATTTATTTACACTGAATTATGTGGTTATTTTTATTACAAAAACAATTTAAATATCTCTTAATTTTGTGTTGCCAAAGAGGGAAAAAGGAATAGTAGGTGAAGTGAATAAAGCAATGAAAAAATTGGCTAATACTTAAAAAAAATTATTTACCAACAATATGCGAATATTCTTTTATCTACTTATTTGCATTCTTGGTAATAAAGATTAGCAACTAAGGGTTCAAAGAGTCGTTAAACCATAGGTAATAAGCAAATACTAAGAAAGTGATGGTTTTAGAATTAGTCAGAATTGCAGTATGTCCTGCTGAGAGAGGAATTTTCTAAGCAGAGAAAAGTCTCGTAAATGTTGAAAAGAACCATGAAATAAACAATGACACGTGTTCTTTTAACTTTTGATTTTTCAAAAAAATGTTTGGAATTATAAGGATCTGTAAAAAAAATGGCATGTTTTTAGGTGTCACCAGTTAGTAAGAAAATAATAATAATAATAACAGGATATGTGTTTTATTTGTAGGGGTACTACAAAATTGTATATAAATTAAAATATTGATCTAAGTAAATTAAATTACTGCATGAAACGTTTTAAATCATCCTAAAAGATGAGATGTAGTTTGGATTTATTCATACAAATCGTTCACCAAGATTTACTGTTACAGTTTAGATAAAATTTATTTTGACATTTTTTATTTGTCATTGTGACATTTTCTCAGACACACGTTTTATATTCTAGGTTTGCTTGATAGACAGACTTTTTGATGGCACTGTATATAAGTACAAGGTGCTTTTAAAATACACAGCAAAATTTAAACTAGCATATGCCGAAAAGGTGAGATTCAAAAAACCGAATTTTTCCTTTTTCTATCCTCCACTCGTCGTCTATGAATTAGCGCTTCAATGTTTTTTATGATACTGTCGGAACTTTTTATTTAATATTTTACTAAATTTTATTTAGTGAATTTCCTTAAGGTTTTCCTTCTTTATCGCGTGAAAGATATACAAAAGATTTTTTTTTTGGTTGAAAATTAAAAATTTTAAAGAAAAGCCCGTTAAATTAATGATGAATACGGTCTTGCAAATTGTCAGAGTAACAAATATTAATTATTGTAGTTGTAACAGATACAATGGTAACAGTTACAAAAACTATACATCGTAGAGTATTTTAACTTGTTGCATCGTGTTCAGCGGGTAATTTTACGTCCAAAAAACAATATTTTAAGCGTTTTTACGACTTAAGATAAATTGACTATTTTATCACCTTCAAAAACTCAAAAAATTCGTAATTTTTTAAACTTGAACCAACAACGTTTTGTGAACTTTTTTGAGTCTTTGAGACCTCTAGAATTGTGAAAAACGTTATAGGAACAATTTTAAAGTTATTCGAGATTTTGTCGATTTTTGGCACCCGGAGCGGTCTATTGTCAATAATTCCGGAATTATTGGTGATAACCTCTTATGTTTGGTACCGTTGGAAAGAAAATTTAATTTTCTATCATATACAAAAAGATCAGTGTAATACGATAAATAGTTATCGATAAAATTCCTGATAAAGTCAAAAATATAGAAAATATAAATTGCAATGTAACTAAAAAACTATTACGAATTTTGCAGTTTTATTGACACCAATTGATTTCCCGGAACATTTTACATATGCTTAAGTCAAAATATTATATCATTGCAATTTATAAAATAAGAAAAGTAAAAATTTGTTAACATGTTTTTGAACGTGTTTCACATTCAATTAAAACCTATCTTATCCGATAGATTTTGCCACGCTGATTACGAATTTGCTAAGTATTTTGCGCTAGTTTCCCCATAATCGGCGTTTAAAAATTCAATTTTTTTGCGTGATTTTCACTGGGCTTTAGCGTTAGATTTTTTTATTCTGATTGCAATGGTGTATTGCTCTAAGTCTAATTAATTAGAGCGCAATCGTCGTTCAAAAAGTAAAAATTTTGAAGCAAAAAGAAATTCTATCTAGTATTTTAACTTGTTGCAGCGTGTTCAGCGGGTAATTTTACGTCTAGAAAACCATTTTTCTTGACTATTTTTTTATTAACGATCGTCTAAAAACTAGGAGTATTACTTTCTACACGATTTTTCGTTAAAAAAGTCAATTTTTTTCTCATATACATAAACCTATTATAATGAAATTTGGCAGTCAATTTTTAAATTATATAACTTAAAAATTTCGCTAGATAGTATTGGCATTGTAAATCAAGAGATTGTGGTCAGGAGAAGACATTTATGGCTTTCTTTGGTGCTACTGACGGGAATCTGGTGTATAGTAAACTTTTGATGGTCAAAGTAATTATTGGCAAAAATAAACAGTGAACGGCAAAATTATGGAATAATCTTATTAAAACTGAAAATATTTTGTTTTGACATTTTTTAAAATAAAAACCCTTAATTTTTTTTAGACAATTTGATAGATCTTTTAATTGCCGAAATGGAAACACCAAAATATTAAATATTACATAAAGTTTTCGAAAAAAAATCACCAAAACAGTGAAGTAATATTAACAAATAACAAACATACAATTTGAAATTTTTTTTCTCAAGTTGAGAATTTTATATTTTTTAAAAGAAATTCGACCTGTTTGAGCATTTTGTCAAATTTTTGTCAAAATTTTTACAAAAATGTTAAATTTTGGCAAATTTATTTACAACAATTTCTGAATTTAGTAAAATTTCTGATTCAATATTAGTGTTGGAAAAAATTTTGATGACATCACAAGTTGTATAGTTTAAAACTCTTGTCGTCTTAACAGATATTTATTAGCAAATATTTAGAAGAGTGATAATTTATGTTTTACTTGTTTGATTGAAGTAATTATTCTTTTAGTTTTTTTTTAGAAAATCATAAGTACGAGTATTTTATATTGCAATTGTGTTTTTGAGGCGTCAAAATGACGGTTTCGAATAGAGAAAGACGTAAGAAACTTAATTTCGAGAGTTTTTTCGTATTTTTAAGACTATTTTTTGTAAAATTGATACCATGTGGTAATGGTTTGCTTTTTAATAAAGTTGCACTTTTCTAAACGATTTTATATTTAGTAAAACTAACAATTACGGAATGGAATACAAAAAAATAAATAATTATCTAAATAACAATTTGTATTTCACAGCAAAAAAATATAAATAATTTTAAATTTCTCTTTAGTTTCAGGTAATGCCTTAGACGGGATTTCCAAAACAACCCCAATTTAGGTAGTGGTGGGGCAAATAGACTTTAAATTCAAGGAGTGAAATTTTTATTTTTCATTTTACGTTGAATCGTCAACAACGACATAATGGGTGTTATTTTCAAAATTTTGTTTTTTACAATATTCGTACTAAAATTGGTAAAAACCCAAAATTGCACCTGTGTGCCCTTTTACTTGTGCAGTGACGACGAAAGTGAGATTATCTCAGATGGACGCGGTTTGCTTGAAGTTAGGTAAGTTTTTCAGTTTTACTTCGATAATTTTATGATTAGTAATTAATTTTATTTTCAGGAAATCTCGTCAGTGCGATGGAGTTTTCGAAGTCTGTTGCAATACAACAATGGCCACCACTACCACCAACGCCCCCACAAAACCACCAAGAGGTTGCGGTTTTCAAAATCCTGAAATTTTTTCATGGTCTGCGTCCCTCCTCTACAAACAGTACCCAAACTTTGTACCATCATACAAATGTCGGATTTCCCTCATCCATGAAAGGGTGGCCATCACCGCAGCCCACTGTCTCCAAGAAAAAGGCTACTACCAGGTTAGAATCAGCAGTACAATTCGTTCTGTCGCCCACATTGTCCAACACCCCCAGTTTAAACTTGCCACTTGCCAAAATGACATCGCCCTTTTATTCCTGAACAAGGCATTTAAAGTGGAAAAAATCGGGACTGTTTGTATTCCGCCTCCAGGATTAGAATTGGACAATTTGAATTGTACTTCAGCCACAACTCTGAAGGAAAATCAGACTAGTCTGAAAATTGTTCGTTTACCGATGGTTTCAAGGGATGCATGTGTGGGGTCTTTGAGACAGAGCAGATTGGGGGAGTTTTTCCAGTTGCATCAGTCTTTTATTTGTGCTGGAGGAAACAACGAGGATACTTGCGGGGGCGATGGGGGAAGTCCGTTGATTTGTCCTATTCCGGGATTTCCCGGGCGGTACCAACAAGCTGGGATAGTGTCCTGGGGAATCGGCTGTGGGGGAGATTTACCAGGGGTTTATGTAAATTTGGCGTACTTTAGGGACTGGATTGACGAAGTTATGTCACAGAATAAATTTGACATAAATTCTTATAGATTTTAAGTGATTATTGTATCGTAGTATCTTATGAAAAATAAATAATTGAAAATATTTTTTTCGTTTTTAATTCCTTCTTAGATTACCAGGAAACAGCATTTCTGCATCTAAACTATAAAAAAAGCTTTTTTTTTAACTTCAGTTCTTGGTTGAACTGTGTTGAACCATAAAGAAATAAATCGCCGATCTAAAATTTTGAACTATTGAATCTTTTTGATAGCCTTAGCAGCACTATTATTCTATTAATTTGAAATTTTTTGTCCGTGTCGTTAAAAAATATATTTAAACCTCTATTTTTGGCGATTCAGTTTTTGATAAAAAAAAATTAAAAAATATTCTTGGTGTATTGTTTATTACCTTCTTTTTTATGCAATTTGAACGGTACGTTTTTTCATATAAAAAAAATATTGAAAATTTGGAATCTGCTACAAATATTCAAAATGAAATAATAACTTTGTGTTTGTGTGGTATTAATTTAATTTAGGAACAACATCCAAAGAGAAACCAATTTGTTTTCTGTTTTTCTTAAAAAAATTTTTTTTTTCGTTTGAAGATTCGTTTGAATAGCTTTCCGTTGTAGGCTAGAGACGTGCCATCTACAGAGTGCTAGAGTAACTAGTTTTTGAGAAACTGTAATTTTGCAGTTTTTTGTAAAAATAATAAAACTGTTAAAATAAAAAAAAATAATTTTTAATAAATTATGAACCGTATTTTTTGTTAGTTCCAATTCAGTGTAACTATCATTGTGGCGTCACCATCTATTTATCTTTCTGTTTTTAGCCATCGAAATTAAAAGAAACGAAACAAAATCAATTATTTAAAACTTGACAAAAATGCTCAATCAATTTTTTTCAATTTAGGTTCGCACCTTTTCATCGACATGTTATTGTTAAATTAAATTACTGATATTAGTGAAATTTATGCGCCAAAACGATTTTACATTCGCATAAGATATCAATATTTTCAATCGGAGAAAAAGCAATTTTGTTAAAAATTTAAATATAATTTTATAAATTAGTCACTAGATTATTACTTTGTTCCAAAAACGAACTGCTTTTAAAATAAAATTTATAAAAGAAATAAATAAAAGTGGCTCTAATCCAAGATGCCATTACAGAATTTTAGAAAAAAAGAGAGCTGGTTCATGAAATTGAATCTAATTTTCGAAATTTGTGAGACTTTTTTGAGTGTAGGACTTTATTATCGAATGATACTGTTTTTCACTTTTGTTTGTGAATTTTGAGAGATTCAGATTACCAATTTGAGATGTCAGTTCAAATTTTTAAGGATTAAAAATATTTCGACATAATCATAACTGTATTTGTATTTTTATTTTGTACTCAATGTTAAAGAGTGCTTTTATCAGTTGAAATTAGTTAATTTCAGTAGATAAAGTAGTCTTTTATCGTCTAGTGAAATAAAGTAATTTTTATCTACAATTTATATTCAATAAATTTTGGTAGGTGAGTACAAAATAAAACGAAATATTATACACAACTATAAATATTGTTTATCTACTCGTGAAAAAAATCACTCGTGACTTCGTTACTCGTAAACTTAACCTTTTCACTCATAGATAAACAATTTTTTTATCGTCTTGTATAATAAATAACTATTATTTATGTTAAAATTGAATTTTATCTGCTCTTTTCTTCATGTTAAAATAAAGTTTTATCGTCTAGATGATAAAAAATACATTCATTATTGTTTATCTGCGGTTGTTAGTTGCTAACGATTTTTGACATTAGATTTCATTGTTGAATTTTACTTTGACATTTATAAATATTGACCAAATTGACTACAAAATTAGTGAGGATTGAATAAAATATTATATTGTACCTACACGACGATAAAATTTTCATTATCTTTTCGAGGATATTAGCGTCTCGGCTGACGCCTCAACACTAAATTGCTCTCAAAGATAAAATTCAATTTTATCGAGTTGTATAATAAATAACTATTTTTTTAAATTTTGAATATGTAATAAATACCTCTACATGGTCGCTAAACTGTGTTGATAGTACCATTATGTAATAAAATAGATAACAAAACAAAGTAATGTGGCTTAAAAAGAACGTATTGGAGCATTAAAAAACTTTTAGGAAAAGTATTTTTTTATTTCAAGTGGGTATCAATAAAATTTTTATGTAAAACGAGTTTTACAGTGGTATACTATTTTTTTACTTTGCTCTATTTATGGTTTAAACATCAAAACTTTGCGTTTGGTCACGTGGACTTTTATCAGTTGAAACAAATGAAAAAGGAAATTAAAAAATTGACAGTTGTTCATACTTAATTTAATAATTTTATATATTTAAATTAATTAATTAATTAATTCCAGAAATTAAGAAAAAAAAATATGCAAAATGAAGATGTTTATAATAACTCCAGGGGTTCAAGTAAACATGAATAACTTTTCCTGTTTATCCGAAGGTAAAGATTCCTAAAACCTAAAAATAATTCTCATTGTGAAGTTATGTTACGTGTTTTTATTATTTTTGACGTTTATATCCGGTACCAATCTCAGAAAACAAAATATATGTCGTACCATTTCAATCATCATTTTGTCACTTTTTATAATGTTCTTTCTGTATGAAACAGTGCGAGAATTTTGGCCCTAAATTTGTCAGTGGGGTCTACAGATTCTTCCTTTAGGTACAGTTGGAGACAAAATACTTTGGTCGTTACTTTTCTGACACTTTAATGTAATTCAAGCTTTAACTTGAAAATGAATGACAATTTCAAATTAATGCCAGCTATTATATTTTCCTATAAAAATATGTACATACAACTTGTCAACTATGATTGACAGTAGCTAAAAATAAGATTAACAGTCCTAAAGTATGCTTTACAATTTAATGTCACGTGACATTGACAACCAGAGTGTTTTGTCTCCAACTGTACACAGAAATCAAATGATTGTGATTTATTTCACTTCAAAAAACACAATTGCGACATTGTTAGTGTGGCGATTGAAATGGCACAAGGTGTATTACGTTTTACAATGAGCTTTCTTGTGATACTCAAATGGGTTTCAAAATAACTTCATTAGAAAACAAAGTAGAGAAAAATAATTTGGAAAAACGCAAAAAACAACACCGTGTTGCGTTTTCGTCAAAATGTACGATGTTATTTGCATACGTCAATTTTCTTTGCAGAGAAAACAGAGAATATTTTAGCTTATGAAAATCAGTCAGTAGAACAATAGAGTATTGTGTTACGACCACGATGGAGTGAAGGGGAATTCGATCCAAGTTGGACATAGTAACACTGTATTTTTTAAAGATTGTATAAAAAATTACAAGTAATAAATAAATCTTGGTGAAATGATGATTTTTATTTTGGCTGATAAAAAACGGAAAAATTAAAAAAATAAAAATAAATTCATTATTCTACAGACTTTCAAAAAACAGGAGTGGGAATGTTTAAAAAGCTCTTGTTTAATTATCATTTTTGTGCGGAGGTAAAATTATACGCTAATTCGTTATTTACTAAAAGCCATTTAGTAAACATGATATAGTGGTTGGGTGAACATTTGGCGTTTTCAATTTCTATTGTAATGTTGCTTTAGCATTTTTTATGTTTTTTTCTGAAAACAAAAAAATTGAAATAACATTTTAAGTTCAATAATCACTATTTTTAAGAGTTTTTCAAAATTTCGCGCTTTATTGATGCATCCTGAGACTTGAAATTTCTACAATTTTTTTTAATTACTTCAGTTTTTTTGCGATTTATGATTTATAACAGTTTAACTATATACTTTCATATTTATCCAGCTATCCACTCATTTAAGTTATTTTTGTAATCTTTCATAACAAGATTTTCTCTCTTTTATGGGTATTATTATTCTGTTAGAACTGCTTTTGTCGGCCTTTCTTTTATTTTTATAGGGAGTATGTTTTTTTAACCTTTTACTCAATAAGTGCAGACAGGAGAAATTTCACATCTTTCTTTTTAAGTTAAAATTAGGTTTTGAAATTGGAACTGCAACCTCATTTATAAAATATTCAAAACATAGCGCAACTTATATTTAGCTTTAAGACTCTTACAAAATAAAACATATGGACAGATTTACAACGTATTTTTCGTGTCTAAGACGGAAACAAATAAGGCAAATTTTCCATTTAACCTGACGCTTTCCATTTAGTTTTTTTTCGTGTTTAACAAGAAGGTTTGAACTAACTGGCGTAACATTGCGTGCCAGACAAAAATCACGAAAGAAATACAGAGGCACTTAACTAATTTGTCGGAGCACTCGTTTTGTTGCGACCACAGTCTTTCCAAGCATATTAATCACGCTAATCGTTTTTCTTATGCAGCAGCATGCATATGAACGGCGTGTTTCCCCGTCTGAAAGCAGGAGAGATGCGTCTGTTGGCATGGAAACGACGCCAGTTTCAAAGAGGGGGTGTGACGGTTTGCAGGGAAGCTTTCGTTTAGAACTTGGATGGATACTACTTTCGGATGAGTTCGCTTTCATATCATAAATCATTACTTTATTAAATGAAACGATGACTGAAACCGCGATGTTCTTTTGCTTCCGGTCAGCAAGCCCTCCAAAGTGGGGGTTCACGTCGTAAACAAAAGTTTTGGTAAAAACGATAACGAAAAAGTGCAACTTTTGGTGCTGGCAATTATTTTTTATTGCGTTTAACAAAGTGGAGCTGAAAGGGTGATGTTAAGAATTTATTTCTAACTTCGCCGCTGAAATAAGTCACAATTTTTTTAAATACAAAATAAATGACAAGAATTAAATTGTAGAAATCTTTATTTAAAGTCATAAGGTAATAATTAAATTACATTTTTCATGTGAAAAGTTGGAGAGTATAACATTTTAACTTCATTTAACAATTGATATGAAATATATCAGGTTTGGGTTGGGAAGTGGTCACTTCGTTATCAGTGGATATGTAATATGACATATTAGGTTGGGAATTGGCCAGTTCCCAACCTGAAATGTCATTCATGTTTTTTAAAATTTGATAAAATTTTTATTGGTTTTCTGC